GCCACGGCGCTGACTCGCCCTTTCTGCCCGTTGTTTTCAGCATTTCCTGTGTTACACCTGCAAGGAGTACGTGGAAGACCTGGCCAGGGTCCCCAGCAGCTTCCTACAGGTACGGCCCGGGAGCGCGCGGCGGGCGGACGGACGGAGGGCCCTGTGAGGACCCGGTGAGGGGACCCGGAGCCCCGCCGCCGCGCACAGCCCGTCGCCACCTCCACACCGACCGACCGCGGTCACAGTTCTCTTTCCGTTCCCGGTAGCCCGGCCTCTTCTCCAGTGTCTATGCTGATGCCTGAAACAGGGCTGGAAACCACTGATCGTTTCTTCCCGTTACTTTTTGTGACACCCCAAGTAGTGGTTTGTTGTAGGAAAGACTCACGTGTCTTCAAGGTGGACTCGGTGTTTGTTAAGCAGGACGTTCCGCGTCCAGGCTCTCAGGTGTGCCCACAGGTGAGCTTGTCTCAGCGAAGGCACTGGGCAGCCTTTGTGAGCCTAAGGTTTGTTTTCAGCAGATCTTATCGATTGGGCTGTGAAAAAATACAATTATCTATTAAATAGCCCTACTTTTAAGTTTTTATCCCCCCCCTTTTTTTTACATATACCTGGGAGTATAGATAATTATTAACGATATCATTTTGAAAAAATTTTTTGACTGTTCCTCTTCATCTCCTTTTAATCTTTTTTTTAATTGGCAAATAATAATTGTATATGGTTATGGGGTACGATGTTGTAGAATGACTGTTTTCGGTGGCTGCCCAGTACGGGGATCTGAACCGTTGACTTTGGTGTTATATAACACCACGCTCTAACCACCTGAGCTATCTGGTCAGCCCTGTGGAATGATTAATCAAGCTAATTAATATATGTCACCTCACATACTTGCTTTTTTGTGGCGAAAGCACTTAAAATCTACTCTTTTAGCAGTTTTGAAAGATACGTTATTAAGTGTTGTCACCATGATGTGCAATAGATCTCTTAAAACTTGTCACTCTTGTCTAACGAAAACTTTGTACCCTTTGAACCCTTTGTACCCCATCTCCCCATTTCCCACCCCTACTCCCCCAGCCCCTGGGAACCATCATTCTGCTCTCTTTCTATCAGTTCGACTTCTTTAGGTTCCACATATAAGCAAGATAATGCAGTACCACGGTGCTTCAAGAAGTTCACGGAAGGGCCGGCCCGGTGGCACACTCGGTAGAGCGTGGTGGCGCTCCTGCTGAGGGTTCAGATCCCATATAGAGACCGGTCCGCTCACTGATTGAGCGCAGTGCGGGCGCAACATCAAGGGTTGCGATCCCGTTGCCGGTCGCGGTACTGGCGTGACACCGAGGGTTGCGATCCCGTTACCGGTCACGAAAAAAAGACAAAAAAAAGGAAAAAAAAAAAAAAAAAGTTCATGGAAAGATCCATATTCTCTTTTCATCCTATTTTTCAACTAACCTTTTAAAGTATGCTCCTATTTGTCTTTCTGTGCCTGGATTATTTCACATAGCATAATGCCCTCCAGGTTCATCCATGTTTTTACCAAAGTCAAGGGTTCAGATCCCCATATGCGCCAGCTGCCAAAAACTAACAAAACAAAGAAAAAGTAGGTGTTGGCCTGTTAGCTCAGTTGGTTAGAGCACAGCCTCGTAACATCCATGTTTTTGCAAATGACAGAAAAATTTCCTTCCCTTTTATGGCTGAACGGTATTCTGTTGTGATTCCACATTTTCTTTATCCATGTACCAGGTTTTCCCGTTCATCTGTTGATGGACGCTTAGGTTGATTCCATCTCTCGGCTATTGTGAATGGTGCTGCGATGAACATGGGAGTGCAGATTGCTCTTTGACATATTGTCTGCATTTCCTTTGGATGTATACCCAGTAGTGGCATTGCTGGATCATATCATAGATCTATTTTTAGTTTTCTGAGGAGACTTTACAGCATTTTCCATAATGTCTATTCTAATTTACTGTCCCATCAGCAGTGCACAAAGGCTCCCTCTTCTCCACATCCTCACCAACACTTATCTTTTTCCTTTTGATAAGAGACATTCTGAAGAAAATGATATGCTAAATTAAAAAAAAAATAGACATTCTGACAGGTGTGAAGTGGTGTGGCATTGTGGTTGTAAGTTGTATTTCCCTGATGATTGATGCTCAGTGATTGTTGAGCATTTTGTCATTTATCTGTTGGTCATTTTGTACATCATCTTTTGAGAAATGTCTGTTGAGGTTTCTTGTCCATTTTTTGAGTTTTTTGTTTTCTTGCTATTAAGTCGAGTTCCTTATATATTTTGAGTATTACTCCCTTATCAGATATATGGTTTGCTAATATTTTCTCCCAGTCTGAGGGTTGTCTTTTCACTCCATTGATTGTTTCCTTTGCTGTGCAGAAGGATGTTAGTTTGATGCAATCCGATTTGTCTTTGCTTTTGTTGCCTGTGCTTTTGGGCTTATATCCAGGAAATCATTGCCCAGACCAATGACGTTGAGCTTCCCCCTCCGCTTTGTTTTCTTGTAGTTTTACAGTGTTAGGTCTTAGGTTTAAGTCTTGAAATTCTTACTGGGTAAAAGAATCATCTGAATTAATGGAACATTACAGCATGCATTCTTTGCTTTGACTCACACACTTTTACTGTATATTCCTTTCCTCTAGAAACCAAAGGTGGCATTAGAATGAAACTGAAGAGGTGGATTAGGAGAAGCTGTAAAAAACATATATAATTTTTATTAATATATATATATGTCCTTTTTTTCTCCTAAAGGAAGCAAATGTCTCCCTTATAGTGATTGGACAGTCATCCTACCATCATATTGAGGTAAATATCCAGCAAATTGGGGAACAGATTAAATATATTTCAGACATAAAAATTAGATTATTTCAACCACTAAGTGAAGGTTGAATTGGCTGAAGTTATGTTATCATTATCATTTGTTCTTATAAAAAATTCCAACTGTTCTCTCTTTTCAGCCTTTCTGCAAACTGACTGGGTATTCTCATGAAATCTATGTGGATCCAGAGAGAGAAATTTATAAAAGATTGGGAATGAAAAGAGGTGAAGAAATTGCCTCCTCAGGTAAGACATAACATGTCTTAAGTAGAAAACACTGGTGGTGTATTGTCATATTTGTGTGTGTGTGTGTGTATATATATATATATATATATATATATATATATATATATATGCACAAGAAAACAAATGATAAATTTGTAAATCGGGCTGCTTTTTATGATTCTAATCAGTGATCCAGATATACCACACCTGTAAGGAGAACAACACATGTGAGTGTAACCTGAACTATGAAGGTGACGGAATAACCTGCACAGGTGAGTCCCTTTGGTGCACACGTGAAATAGCAGCATGGCACAGGAGAGGAGCAGGCTTGTCCCAGAGCCTGTGCTCAATCCTGGGGTGGGGCCTCTTTGGCAATACCTACCCGCCTTGTGGCTCAGTTTCCTTAGTGGATTTGCTCATGTTTGATTTACCCATTCCAGATCATGGAGGTTTTTTGGGTTTTTTGTTTTTGTTTTTGTTTGGGGGGGGGGTTTTGTCTTTTTTTGTGTGGGTGTGACCGGTAAGGGGATCACAACCCTTGATGTGGTGTCGCCCGCAACGCGCTCAGCCAGTGAGCGCACCGGCCATTCCTATATAGGATCCGAACCCGCAGCAGGAGCGCCGCTGTGCTCCCAAGCGCCACATTCTCCCGAGTGCACCACGGGGCTGGCCCGACCTTGGTGTTATTAGTACTATGATCTAACCAACTGATAGAGGGAGTAATGAGTTTGTAGAAGACTGAATAAAAGGAGTTTTACACATAAGAACTAAGTTCACATATTTTTATTTTTTTATTTTTATTTATTTTTTTTTTTTCCTTTTTTGTCTTTTTTTTACTGACCGGTAATGGGATCGCAACCCTCGGTGTCGCGTCCGCACTGGGGACTGGCAACGGGATCGCAACCCTCAGTGTTGGCCCGCACCTCGCTCAGCCAGTGAGCGGGAACCAGTCTCCACATGGGATCTGAACCCTCGGTGGGAGCGCCGCCGCGCTCCCAAGCAGTGCACTCTCCAGTGCGCCACCGGGCCGGCCCAGTTCACATATTTTTATACCTCAGCACCATGGCTTTGAATACTCCATGTCCTTTAATTGATGAAATCCTGCTTATCATTTGAAACCCACTGCAAAGGGTTTTTAATAAGCTCTTCAAGCAGCAGTAATTGCTTGCCTTGTACTTTAACAGCACCTTGTACTTCATTGGATACTCTGTTATCACACTTAAGGTGGCCAGGTGGTAAGTTAGTTGAAGAGTGTGATGTTTATTCATCTTTATAGTGTCCATATTTCCTGCCTTTATCACAATCTCTTGTAATTAGTAGATCTTAGTAAACCTTAATTGAATTGTTTATGTGTTTTTTAAGTGAAAGAACTTGGTTTTTGAGATGCCAGATGAGAGAACTCAAACTCAAATCAGTCACTCTCTACAAATGTTATGGGGCTCTTGTCTGTGACACCCACTGTGTTGAATGCTCCCGGGAAGACAGAGGTAAAAGACACAGCCCCTGCCATCCAGAGCTCATAATCTACTCTGGGAGACAGACACAGTCAATTACAACACGGCGTAAAGGCTTCTGACAGAAGACAGCGTGTACTAGTAATACCTGTGTCAGGAATGCAAGGGGAGGGAGGATCTGGGAGGCTTCTCAGAAGGTGAAGTCTCAGCTCAGGTGTAAAGGAGGTAACTGGGTGATGTGAGGGTGGGGTGCTCTGAACAGAAAGTAGCATATGTGAAAGCACAAAAGCATGAAAATACAACTCATTTGGAAAAGTGCAGGCCCCTGCCTCTGGTCAGAGTCTAGAAGCCAGTTGGGGAATTGGCGTGAACCACTGATAGGTTGTGGCCAACTCACCTTGAGTCCAGAGTGACATGACATGCTGAGGAGTTTGGATTTATTCTGAAGGCAGTAGGGGTGTCATACAAGTGATTGAGCAGAGAAGTGCGACAGTCACATAGCTATGTGGAGGAGGAATTGGAACCAGCCAAACCAGAGCCAGTGATGTTTCTGACAAGGCTGTAGTGTGGTAATTGGCTAGAAAGAAGTGAGAAGGCTCAGGTAGAGATGGAGATGTGGGGATGGATCTGGGAACTGTTTATGACGTAGGAGTTGCCATGATCCCTTTGCTGATGTTTTTAAAGAAAGCAACTTAAACTGTATTAAAACTAATGATGAGCTAGCATAAACACAGAGTTTGATCTTTCTCTTTCTCTCTTTAGAGTAGGAAATTGCACCAGTACAGAACGTGAGCCTCACATTTTGGTACTCTGTTTACATGTGCTATAACAGAGCCTCAGCATGTGTAAGGTCTGTTTATCATTCAGCACTTTAGATATAAACTGCGAGTTTCACTTTAGTAACACCTCACCATTCACTGCCACAATAAAGATAGGGAAGTGCAAAGAAAACAGTTGAATTCTAAACCAAATATATGCTGTAATTATAAGAGGTATATTCAAATCATTTAAGTGTCCTTGATTTGTGTTAAGGTACTGTATGGCCAAACAGAAAATATTAGGTTCTCATGAAATATTTATTTAAAGGTCCCACCCTGAAAAGCATAAAGCATAAATCTCACAATCAGAATAGTCTTACTTGAAAATTAAGGCACAAAAAATATGTTATACAATTATAATTTAAAATTTATGGTACCAATTTTATAAAGACAAAGAATAAGACATAAAGCTGTTAAATGTGAGGGAGTAATGAGTTTGTAGACGACTGAAAAACTGGAGTTTTACACATAAGAACTAAATTCAAACTTGCAGAATTAGATTGCAGGCAAAGATTGTTCAATTCTAGGCTGTGGAATCTCGTTCACTTGAATTTTTAAATTTTCATTGGACATGAGAAGATAGTTTGGATTTCAGAGCATAATTATTTTAGATCTAGAATCTTGTAAGACAATAAAATTTAATCTTTTAATTATGTCTCTAAGCAGGTGAGCCTATATTTGTTTCTTGGTAAATGAATGTTCATCCTAACGTAAACGTGAAAGAGATAGAAGGGTTGGAGAGGTGAAGGGAAATAATAGGTATTTGGAAATATTAGGAAATCAAGCAGGTCACAGGCTACATAGTCATCAAAATAAAAAGCTAAAAGCAAGACATAAAAGACAGAGATAGGAGAAAAATAAGTCCTAAGAACGGTAGAGAGACAGTTTCTTTGCTCAAAGGGAATGGAGATGAAGTATCAGTCACTGGAGGTGGAAAACTGACCCCCAAGGAGGATGGAGAGGCAGCCACAGAGCTCCTGCTCCAGCTAAACCTGAAGTCTATAGCATAACGTGGTAAAAGGTTATGTGCTTTTTGTTTTAAATTTCAAGAAGGGTATGGGGCCGGCCCGGTGGCGCACTGGATAAGTGCGCCACTTGGGAAGCGCGGTGGCGCTCCCGCCCGAGGGTTCGGATCCCACGTACAGACCGGTTCCCGCTCACTGGCTGAGCGAGGCGCGGGAGCAGCACCGAGGGTTGCAATCCCGTTGCCGGTCCCCGGTCCGGTACGGGGGCAACACAGAGGGTTGCGATCCGTTGCCGGACACGGAAAAAGATAAAAGACAAAAAAAAAAAAAATTTCAAGAAGGGTATATCTATTCGAGTGCCTTTCCTCCAAGCAGCAGTTCTGGGATCCAGGCCCATTCCGTCTTCTGGCTCTGCCATGTTAAACCCAAACTTTCCACAAATGTAGGAGGAACATGGGGACGTGCCAGCCTCATTCGCTCATTGGTTAGAACACAGTCATGTGCCATCCCTGGCTGCAAGGAAGGCAGGAAACATAGTTCAGCTGTGGACCCAGGAAGAGGAAACAGGTTTTGACCAACATATAACAGGTCTGTGCCACAGTGTCTTTTGAAGAGGAGTATAGCTACCTATTAGGAGGTGAGAGACTAAATAGAATATAAATGGGGAATTAAAATGGGAAGTACCTACTAACTTGGGAAGTCTGTAGCTGACATTTTTCTGTGGCAGAAAACGACCCGAGTCTATTTCCACTCCTTTCTTTAAAGCAGTAGTTCTCGACTGGGACATCCCCAGGGAGCATTTGGCTGGGCACTGTCCAGAGATTCTTTTGATTGTCACAACTTGGTGAATGGTGCTACTGGTATTTAGTGGATGTAGGAGGCAAGGCTGCTGCTGAACACTGAACATTGCACAGGACAAAAAATCACCTGGGTCAAAACATCAATAGTAAAAGGTTGGGAAACCATTCTTTGAAGGAATTAAAGACACGTAGAAAGTAGGATGAGACACAACAAAAAGAATGTTTTCTTTCTTTCTTTTTTTTTTTTGTTGGCTGGCCAGTACAGAGATGGAACCCTGGACCTTGGAGTTAATCAGTACCACGCTTTAACCAACTGAGCCAACTGGCCAGCCCTAGAAAGAAAGAAAATGTCTTCTAGAAACACTAACATTATCTCCCTGGACCTTGGAGTTAATCAGTACCACGCTTTAACCAACTGAGCCAACTGGCCAGCCCTAAAAAGAAAGAAAATGTCTTCTAGAAACACTAACATTATCGTTTTAGTATCAAATATAAAATGATAACTTCTAAAGACAATTCTCAATATTTCAGGACAGAGCCCCCACGTAAAGTCAAACCTACTGTCAGGAAGCCTTCAGAGCCTGTGGCGGGCAGTGACTGGGCCTCTTTTTGATTTTCAAGGAGACCCAGCCCAGCAAGGTGGAACCCTCATCTTAGGTCCAGGTGAGCATCACGTGACTGTAGCCTTCCTGTGCTTCTTACAAGTCCAGAGGCCACCCTCCTCCATCATATAGACAGCATGTGGAGATGGACAACTTGACATAACAGTCAGGATGTTGTGCTTTTGTGGGGGACATCTTTTGTTTTTCATGGCTTCTGTGTATTTTGATGTCTGTTTATTTGATGAATGTGCCCATCATTCCATACCTGAGTGATTTCAGGTATTTGGGATAGGGAAAGTCAGCTGTGGGTTGGTGATTTGTATATGGCTATAACACTCAAGTTCAGTGGAGATGAACACATCTGAATAAGGGAAAATCACCAAGCACCTTTTTTTAATCAATAAAAGAATCTATTTAGTTATTTATACCTAACAAAACCAGGAGGCTTGCTCAGTTTTAGAAAGCAGCTCGGTGCCAGGGACAACTCGTTCTGTGAACTACTATATTATGCTTTATTGGTCAGTTTGGGCCACCTGAGATTCCTTCAGCTCCACTTTGCTAAAGGTTGAGTGTCGGATCTCTACCATGTTCAAGTTTTCCAGTAAGGGACAAACACCCATAGCTGACATTGCCAAAAAGCCAAAACACTTTGTTGTTAGCACTGTATTGTTTTCTTGGTTCTTCTTTCTCTTTAAAACCGTCCACATTTGGGGCTGGCCAGTTGGCTCAGTTGGTTAGAGCACAGCTTTGTAACACTAAGGTTTAAGGGCTCAGTTTCCCATACCAGCAAGTTGCAAAAAAAAAAAACCCCAAAACCAAA